CATGCTCCAGCCAGAAGCCACAGGGCAGGCAGGAATGGAATGGGACTAAGCAGAAACTTCCCTTTTCCAAAGGAGGGAAAGCCAGGCAGACAGTTTGAAGAGAACCAGTCCTCAGGGAAGCAGAGAGCACTTACAGATGCTTGCAACTTAAGAAATATTACCTTGTCTTTTGCAAAGCCAAGAATAATCCCAGAATCTAACAAAGGAAGATGTAACAAAAGCCACACTGTCAGAAGATCAACTATTTCATAGAATATAATCACTTCAGTATTATCTAGCAGTAACAAGTAGCTGAGAAGGCTGTTTCAGATTAAATTTGCATGTCATGCTTATTAACTTCATTAGTCACAAAATCTCCCTTGGATCTGCATGCAGCTTGACAGCCCATCTGAATGTCATTGGCTGAACAGTCAGAGCCAGCCTTTCAAGACCCTGACAGATTATGACCACCCTTCTTTCTGCCTGTGTCTGCTAACATTAAAGAGACAGAACACAAGGTAAGTTTTGGCTTGCCAGGAAAGCCTCATGAGACATTTGCTGTCATCTCAATGTATGACCCTTAGGAAGCAGAAGCAGCACAGTAGTTACAGACAAGCATTAAAGCAGATCCAGTACATAGTCCAGCTGGATATCTCCACTGCAATCTTTCATGCTAGGTATGCTTCAAACCCTCCTCTTCTCTTTCTTCCATCTTTATCACATCCTCTCTCCACAACATCCCCACAATTAACAACCCTAAGCATAGTACCTCTGCAGATCTGCAGTATGAAGTGCAACATACTGCTTGGGATAGAGCATCAAAAGTGTTCTTGTACACTTTTAGGTTACTTATCTGAGGGTTGCTAAAGAACACGTGTGAATAAAAGAACCCAAGGGCATTTCAGTCAAGTTAAATGATGGAAATTTAAAAAGAAACAAACAAGCCTAGTTAATATATTGCATAATTCAGCTTCAGAAATTGTGGCCAAGCAATTAGCAAGATTCAAGAAGCTGGATATTTATACAAAGAGCCAGAATTTACTTTAGTTACTTATTTAGTTAGAGACATTAAATATTTTACACTATTACATTCTTAATTTCAGGATTTAAGATAAACATAAAATCCAAAATGGGATTAAATAATGCACACCAGCACTTCAAACAGCTTTCAGTAAATCATCATGTACTGGCTTGATCCAGGGATGAAATATTGAATATTATGGACTTTTGGTATCATTAGTCTAGACTTCAGGAATTGCCATGATTTTCTGTACATCAAAACATATTAACATTGTGGAAGGTAGAGGTATTCATTATTACAATTTTACATATACAAAAATAATCTACCAAAGTCAGAGAATGTACAGCTTCATGCAAATAAGGAGCAGGACAAAGCATGGAAGATTTTGTTATCAAACCTCTACTCTAACGATTTCTTAAAGCAATTCAAAACCACAGTGCTGTGATGCACTTTAACACAGAAAATGGCTGACACAACCAAGGGTCTATTTTCAGCATGATTTATACTCAGTGTGTGCTGAAGTCAGACTGCTGCAGCTTTCCTAAACAGGACTACATTTTAATGTGCTTTGATACCCACAGAATAAACTATCCATCTTATTTCTTAATAACTCTTTCATTACTTTTTTCTTCCTGTTACCTTCTAATATCAAATTTAAATACAGCTTCATTATTAACTGTTCCATGTTATGACAACATTTCTGCCTATCTTGTCCTTTCAAAGGTTACAATATTCAGAAAATGCACTGTGAAGGTGTTTCAAGCATCACTCCTCTTAAGGCTTTCCAAAGTTACCTGCAAGACATCGTGTGATGTTTGCATGTTGGAAGAGCAGCAGCAAAACTTTGTGGCAGCCCAACAGAGTAGTAGTGTTCAGGTTTCTTCAGCTCAACAAAACACAGTTTATTTGGTCAAGCCTGCCCTAAGCAACTCATCCAAAGTATTTGATTCTTGTCTCTCTGATGAGATGAATCTGGATCTCAGCTCAGCAGGTCACTCTATACCAGCACTGGATTATAACTGCAGCACAATGTAATGGGTACATCTGCTATTCAGGATCAAATGGTGTCCAGGTGTGGTTAGAGGTGACTGTGGAACAGTTGCTAGCCAAAATAAAACTGCAGAGGTTTATTTCTCCAAAGAGTTATGCAGACTTTATCCAATGGAGTTACAGTTCAAAGTTCAAAACTTCAGGTTTCTGAGAAATTATGAATCCTACCTAAAGAATAATGCTACTAGATAAACCATAACTTCTTGCCTAGCAGCATCTAGAAATATTTCTGCTGCCAGTTGTCTGCAACACTGAGAATGAGAACTTAAAGGAGTAATACATCCTAAAGAACATAATGATCACAATACACTATTGTTTTTGACAATAGTAAGGATAAACACACAGCTCTTAAAAAGGAGTGAGGAGAGTGGTAGATGTACCAGTGCTTTGAAAACAGCTTTAAAAATGGATGACAGGCGGCAAACTCCAAGTTGGTTTGTGGTTCAGCAATCATAAATCTTTTTTTTTTCTTCTCCTTTTACAGCATCTAAAGAGCCACAGCTGGCTTCTGAAGCCTTCAAATTGATCCACTCCCTGAGAATTAAAGCCATTCAAAGTTAAGGTGTATGCACTCAAAGCTTTGATTTCATCTGGCTCAGATCAGGTGTCTTAGTACAGGTTTAATTTGTATGTGAGTTCCTAAGGGAAATAAGGCCCTTTATAGTTCTTATTTCACTGAAAACTGCATGCCAGATGCTATGGAAATCCAAATTATCTGTGCCAAAAAATAGGAAAGGAGAATGGAAGAGTAGTTATTATTATTATTATTATAACAGGAGTTTCAATAGTATCCTGGAAATTTCATCTCTTCGGGGATTTAAAAAAATTTGGTATACACACTCAGTTTCATAATAATTAGTTACTTTTCACTGATTTAAATTTTCTTAAAGGGCTAAAGTTTGGCAAGGGCCCAAGCCAGACAGCTACACATGACACATAAGCTTCCAGGACACCATCACAAGGATCAAAGAACCTGTCGGATTTTGTCAGCTGGCCCCATCTTTCCATTCTGACTGTAACTGACACTGTATATAGTGCAGAAGTACCCTCAGGTCCTCTGAGCAAGTCACACCATCCAGTTCATAGTCTAAGGGCTCACAAATCCTAAGCAAACAAGGCACTATCAGGCCACCTTGCCTTGTGTGAGAACACAAAGAGGCAGAGAAGTGTCCCCTTCCCATGCTGGAGACATGGGCAGTGGGACTGAATGCACCCCCAGCAAGTTTGCTTGATGACACCAAGCTGTGTGCTGTGGTCACCATGCTGGAGGTAATTTGACAGGCTTAAGAGGTGAGCTGGTGCAAACCTCATGAACAACACCAAGTACAAAGTCCTACAACTGGGGCAGGGCAAACACAAATACAGACTGTGAGTAAAACCGATTGAGATCATTCCAAAGGAGAAAGATTTTTAGATGTTCATGGACAAGAAGCTTGATACAACCCAGCAATGTGCACAAAAGTACATTGAAGCCCACAAAGTCTGGGCTGCATCCAAAGCAGCATGACCAGCAGGTCAAGAGAGGTTCTCCCTCTGCTATGCTGAGACCCCATCTTGAAGAGTGCACCCATCTTTGGGGCCCCCAGCATAAGAAGGACATAAACATGCTGGGGTATGTCCAGGGGAGGACCACAAAGTTATCAGAGGACTGGTGTACTGCTCCCGTGAAGACAGGATGAGAGAGCTGGGGCTGTTCAGCCTGAAGAAGAGACTACAAGGAGACCCTAAACACCTTCCAGTGCCTAACGTGGAACTATCAGGAAGCCAGAGAAGGACACTTTACAAGTTGTGCAGATAGAACAACAGGGGATGGCTTTAAACTAAAAGCAAATATGTCTAGGTGGGATATTAAGATGAATTTCTCTACTGTGGGAGCAGTAAGGCATGGGCACAGGTTTCCCAGAGAAGGTGAGGATGCCCCGTTCCTGGAAATGTTTATGGCCAGGTTGAACAGGGCTCTGAGTAACCTGATCTAGTGGAAAGTGCCCCTGCCCTTAGAAGGGAGGGTGGAACTAGGTGACCTTAAAGGTCCCTTCCAACTTTCCTAATTAACAATTGCGGTGACCATTCACTTTTTTTCCCCCTCAAAGTGCTACTTCACTTGCAGCACAAGAGAGAAAGCCAGAATCAATTCTTCCATAACACTGATCTAAGCAGGACAGGATGACCATACCTCTCTGCCTTTTGATTCTACCACCTCTATAAGCACTGGAGAGATGAACAGGTCAGAGCTTCACAGCATGTCATCCCTTGCACTTAATACTCTACTCACCAGCAACACCCTTAGTAATTAATCTCTTCAGCTTTTCTCCAAGCACTTCCTACAGCACAGGACAATAATAGCTGAACTCTCATGATTCCTCAGATACTTTAATTCATGACCTAATCTGGGAGTGCCCTTCTGTCCCACAACAGGAATCCACCAAGTCCTCACCTTTTAGGCCCCTCAGCCGCTCTCCACCTTAGGCTAATCACTCATTTTCTCTCTTACAAATTACTTTAAGCACCATAAGCAACCTTCGTCTCACACTATTCATCCTCACCTGCATACCTAATCCCACAGTTTCTTAATCCAGAACACTCTTAATCCACTCAGGATGTGAAAGCCCCACACATAACAACCTTATCCTGCAAAGTATCAAGTATCCTTTCCCTTTTACTCTTCCTAGCAGCTGCCTTCTATAGCCTCATTTTTACATTAATTAGATCATTCTGGTGCATAACTGTGGTGGACTAAGGGAGTCCCCAAGATGCTCAGCTGCTTGCTGAATCAAAATCCCCATCCTTGCAGTGCTGCCAACTGCTAGAAAAAGTCAACTGAAGGTGGCTAGTTGATAACAGACATTTGGATATGGGATGTCTCCCTCATTCATCAGTTCTCTCAGGCTGAAAACCAAGCATAGAGACTTTGTCCCAGAACTACCACAGCTGTCTCTTATCATTATATTTCTTTTCCATAATTTCAGAAAACAAATGTTTTCAAAAATTATCAATGCAAGAGTGACTATGCCTGCATAGTCACTCTTGAACAGTAGTTCACTAATTTACCTCAGCAGTGACAGATGAATGATGGACAACTGTGATGCTCATGCTGAAGGTAAAGGACTGCCATAGTAACTATGGTATACCAAGTAAAACCACCCATGTGTGGAACACCAAACTGGAAAAATCCCAGTTCTGTGGTGGCCATTACCTATAAAAGACAAAACAAGAGGTTGTTTTGTACCTTATAAGCAGTCTTGTAGCATAAGGAATGAGATTTCTGGTTTCTTGGAAATTAAAAACAGCTGTTAAGTTTTCCTCCATAACTGGAATGAAGATTCTGAATTTGTTAATTTATTGCATAAAGGAAGTGGTGCTTCAGAAAATATAAAAAAAGTTCTTGCTGACCTTTTCGAAATCACAGTGATCCAGGATTCACCTTGAGTTCCTGGGACTTTTCTCAGCCCCCTGGGAGATCCCCCCCAGGCAGCCTCTCCTGGAGTGGTGAGCTCAAAAACCCATTTTTGTTCTGCAAATTTCTGCCTTGCTTTGGAGAGCTGAGGTCACTGAGCAGGTGACTGAGGTCACTCTGCAGAGCCATGCTCTCCTACAAGTCACATTAATTGCTCAAAAAATCAACATCCTCCTACACATTTCTTTGAGCTCTAGCACTGCAGTTAAGAAAACCTGTTAAGGACTTATGAGCTGTAACTATATGAATTCTCCTCTCTGCAGCACACAAGGTTATAAATAGAATAGGAAACATATAAGCGCTTCATGTCTTACCCAAGTCCTTCAGCTGGCTAAATTCCAAGTCTGCAGAACATGTTTCTTCTTTAGTCTTTGACTTTTTCAGTGTGTTGCTGACATTTTGGCTCTTATACTCTTTGTTCACATTGGCTGCAAGCTCCAAATTGGCCAGAGAAAACTTGATCATATTTTGCTTAAAAAGCTTCCTGTCCATGGCAACCAGGATGCTGATCACTTCATCAGTTCATCTTGGTAAGCCAGAGGTGTCATAACTGCACTTCTCATCTAGCAACTGTTTCTTCACAAATAAATGGTTTTATTGTGCCTGGAAGTATTTTATCTGGTTCTTCTGGGGAACCTCCAAAACCCAAAGCTCCTTCAATCCTGTGAAGGTTTACTCTTCAGTACTAGCCTAAACTACTTTTGCAAAGTTTCAAATAATTCACATGCTATTTCCATCCTTTAGCTCTTCATTGGTAGCTGCAAGCTCTCCCAGTTTTTGTCCCACCTCATCGGAACGGGAATATCCCAGAAATATCCTAGTTCAATTTCCTTCTCAAATGTCTCCTCTTCCTCCATTTGTTTATTTAATTGCCCCTTTCTCCTTGTTCTCTTGGGCAAGTGCTCTCAGCTGCCTTTTAGCTCAGTCGGTCAGAGCATGGTGCTAATATCACCCAGGTTATGGGTTTGATCCCCAAATGGGCTATTCACTTAAGAGCTGGACTCAAGGATCCCTGTGGGTCCCCTTCCAACTCAGAATATTCTGTGATTCTGTGAAAACCATCTTCAGACACAGCAATCTCCTGTCAATCACAGCAAGCCTCCAGTGCTTCCCACCTCTTGGCCAAAAAGATGGGAGATGCTGCATCACACCAGGGCCTGTCCATTCTTTCGCTACCATCCCCAGGACACCTGTGTTCATGCACCCTTTAGGGAAATAAAGACACTTCTTGGAATGAGACTTTCTATCAACAGGGCTATGCTGGAAAGGACATGCACACATCTGAATATTCTGCCTAACATATTTGAAAGTGCAACCAAGTGAGGGAAGAACTAAAGAGCTCTGAAGCCAAAGGGTTAAGCCCAGCTCTCAGCTATTCTGAATCTCAAACCTCCCAGTTCATTCCACAGTCTTTCAGAGGCTGCCTGCTTCCCACACAAGCTACTCATTTGCTCTTGGAGATGTGACTATGCTGCCCATGCAGAGGCTGAGCACAGGTGAATTGAACACCAGCAGTCCATAGGCAATAAGGACACAACATACCTAAACACACCTAGGGAACTCACCCAGAGAACAGACTCATGTTTTAAACCACAGAAACACCTACTGCTGGCTGCTGCAAACACCTTTGTATGTTGCTAAATGAAAGCAGCCATAGGGGCCTTACATAGAGGCTGCTGGCAAGGCAATGAGTCCAGGCAGTCATTCCACACTTCCCAACACTATGGGGACCACCTGCCTCAGAGATCAGGAAGCAAATGAGTATTGGATGTCAGCCCTTGCACCAGGGCTACTGGTAAACTGTTTGTCCTGTATCCTGGAGCCAGGGCTCAAGGCATGGAGTCCTTGGCTGGAGTCATTCACCAAAGCTAGATTAGATGCAAATTTAAACACTGAGGTGATGTCTATACAGCTGGATGCCTATGCTCACAGCAAGCTCACTTACCTCTGCCTGCCAAAAGAAATAAGGTACAGCCTGTCCCCAGAGGTACACCCTTTTAGACAAACCTCTCCCATACTAGTGGGGCCTCCCGGAACCCCTCAGAGTCTGTCAGCCTTCAAGGACACCCATATGAGATGTGTGTGAGGCAGATAACCCTGAGAAGGACAGCCTATGTGGTGATCTGGCCTTTAAAAGCAACGAGGACCAAAAAGTGATGGCACAGTGACTCAGCCCCAAGGTGTTCTGCAGAATTCACAGCATAACGCAATTAGCATCAGTCCCCTGGGGTTCACCACACGATTCATCAAGCCTGTCATCACAACTTGTACATTTGTGGCTGTGACAGTCCATCCCACAAAGGCAAAAGCAAAGAAAAAAATAATCACTGCCAGGCTCTCCTCTCAGCTTCTACATCCAGCAGCTTCCTCATTACCCAGATCCACCATTGCCAAGGGATATCTTTGGGAGATAACGCTCCAGAAAGGCAGACAACATTGCAGATGTTTCCTCATCCATCTGCTAAAGGTAGATCCATCTGTTGGAACGGCTACAGAGCGAGGGAACTCAGGCAGCAAGATGCCCAGCTTGCCCAGATGGCTGCTTGGCAAAGACATGGGAATTGTCAGCTCAGTAGCTGGCAATCCCACTGCACCCACAAGCTGCTGAGTGTGCTGACCCCATGCCAGGCACACTGCCCTGCAGAAACACCTGAGGCTCCCCATTCCCGTTTTCCTTCCAGGCAGCAGCTGTCTTGACTCCCTTCTGCAGCAGGAGGGCCGTCCTGGGTATTGCAGATATTCCATCTGCTCCTCTGCCCCACTCCCCAGGCACGTGTAGGAGGGAATGGCCAGCTAGTTGCTCTCCTCCAAGGGGAAGCATTGTAGAGTGCCAGCTTTGCTGCCCAATAGAAATCATCCATTCTGACCATCCATTCTGATAACATCCAAGTGGGCTTACAGGTAGACACAGGCAGTTTGTGTATGCAGCCTGAGACCCACGCACGGACTACAAGTGTTGTGTGTTCAAGCAAGAGGGTTCATCCTGGGAAAGATGTTAGTACAAGCTTGAGAACAAAAGCTGGTCCTAGCACTGTGACCTGGGTTTGCCTCTATCTTGCTTGGATGGCTGAAGGGCAGGACTCCTGTGGTCGCTCTAAAAAGGTTGCACCTCTTTCCTTCAGGTTTAGGAGATGCCAGTATTGACTCAGATAAACCACTCATTTAGTGGTCTGCCAGGTCTCCCTCTGACAACATCAGTCTCTAGAAGCACATCACCCACAAAACTCTTGCCTTTCATGCCTGCCACGCTGGCAAGGGGACATGACAGGGCTGACAAGCTGGCCACAGCATCATCCCCACACAGCAGTGGCAGCCTGTGACATGCTCAAGAAGGTGAGCTAAACAGCAAACACCAGACATGGCCTCTAAGATTCCTGCCCTGGTGCTCTCACCAGCACTGGGACACTGGCAAAACTGCATCTCATGATAAAATAGGCACAACTGAGGGCTAAGCTAAAATAATACTTGATTTAAGCCCAAGTTTGTATAAATGAAGTCTCCACATGCATTTTTTAAATTATAAAATATACATTTTTCTGCAACCTAAAGGCAAGTTTTTTTTTGGTTTTTTGTTTTTTTTTTTAGAAAGCCTTGAAATAGTTTTTGCTATATTATTTTAACCAGAAGATGAGCTGGCATAAGTTACTCAGAAGGAACATGTTTTAGGGAAGGGAACATATGGAAATAAAAAGGCATAGATAAAACTTCATGATCTCATTTGGACCATCTTATGTGAATTACTGCCCTGAAAAGCAGAAAGGCTTTGCTACTGAATGTAGATGGAAAACATAATTTGCCAAAAAATCCTATTGAAAGTTGAAATAAAATTCCTTATGCTAAAAGAACTCAGATGTTAGAGAATTTGTATCTATTACTTATTTTGGCAAAAATTATACAGCTGAGTAAAGCTTTTAAACAAACACTGAAGAAAACAGAGTATGTCTTTATAAAACTCCCTTTCATGAAAAAAAAAAAAGGGGATTTGTTCCCATCTGGATCCCCAAATAAAGCATTTACCATTGTTTAGCAAACACCTTTTCAGCTGCTTTTGAACAGCTAGGCATATTCAAGGCATTTATCCCAGAATCACACAATCACACGATAAGCTGAGTTGGAAGCCATCCTCAAGGTTCATCAAGTCCAACTCCTGGTCCTGCACAGGACACCCTCAAGAGGCACACCATGTGTCAGACAGCAAATGCTCCTTGAACTCTGTCAGGCTTGCTGCTGTGACCACTTCCCTGGGGGAGCCTGTTAAATTATGCTTGTCCAAGCTTTCCTCTGAAATATCTCCCCCTCCATAAGTCTCATCGTGAGAACTGCAATTTGCTCTACATGTCCTCCACATTTTCTCATGGCACTAGCAGAGTTTAGTTTGGTTGTAAACTCCCATAATCTATTCCCTTCCCTGAGACACTGGAGGTTGCCCCAGCACACACAGAGAAAAGTATTGCAGGCTCTAGTCCTTGGGAACAGGAGATTAAGCCCAGAGCAGCCAAATCAGGGAGCAGCACAGATCCTTGATGGACATCAGAGTCTAAGTGGGGCCTGTTCAGATGGCTAAGACCACTCATGAGGTGAGACCAATATCCTATTTTTTCCAAAGTGATTTAACCAAAACCAAATATAAATAGGAGTATCTCCTCCTCTCAATCTCAGACATTCTACAGACAAAAAAACTTGTCAGACTTTAGTTGTTTTATTTCAGTCACATATGAGTCATGATTTATCTCACAGCCTGAATAATTTCTGATGACTATAACAGGCCTTATGGTAACGAAAAAAGAAAAGAAGAAAAATATAGAATTTTAAATTCTAGTTAGGAAAATACTATATTCTCATTTAATTTCAGGTTTTAAGATTGGTGAAGGAATTTTTATTTCCATACTGTGATGATAATTTAAAATAACCAATCCAACAAACAACGAGGAATCAAAATACCATTGAGAGGGACTCTCTCTTGCTTTGGGAGCCACTGTGATATCTCAGAGATATCATTAACTTACCTAATTCTCTATACTGCATGCAACATGAGCATTACAAATATCAGCCTCATCAAAATTTTAAACAGCAAAGAATCCCAACATTG